GCACGCAAGGCAAAGGCTTGCAAGAGAACGGAAGGCAACGGTGCAAGCGGAGTCCACGGAAGGCAACGGTGCAAGCGGAGTCCACGGAAGGCAACGGTGCAAGCGGAGTCCACGGAAGGCAACGGTGCAAGCGGAGTCCACGGTACAAAGCCTAATAACAGGAAATCGAATTTGGAAAACTGAAAAACCAGAGTTGACATGTCAAATATATTTATCACATGTTAGTATCTTTATCAAATGTCCCCTTCTCGTTGTCATCATCACCCTAATTCAGTGACATCACCCTCACCCCTCACCCCCAGACTTTATCATCATTTGCAAACTGGAATCTCTGCTTCTAAACCTTTTCCCTTCCAATTCCTCAGACATCCAACATTGGTTCGTCTTAAACTGAACGCACCCATGCCCCGTTCAAAACCAGTACAGCTCGCAGACATTCCTTTCCCGTCCCTTTTTCTTTAAATTTTTTAAACATTGATTTTTAGAGAGAGGGAGGGAGAGAGAGAAACATCGATGTGAGAAAGAAACACCAATCGGTTGTCTCCCGCACGTGCCCCAACCGGGGATCAAACCCGCAACCTTTCGGTGCATGGGACGACACTCCAACGGAGCCACACCGGCCAGGGCAACACCCTTTTCCTTTTTAACACCATCAAATGAAGTTCAAACTCTACATGGTATCTGAAGCTCTCCAGAAGCTGAACCTAATTAACTTCCAATCTGTAACATCCCCCATTGCAACACCCCCTCACACACGTATCTATTTAAAAGACCACTTTCCAGTGATAACTCCAACTTGGCTAACTTCGTGTCAAGGCAAACGCCTTTGGCAGTAGCAGCGGCACAATAAACTCTTCTGAGTATGTTTCATTTCTTCTTTGGGTTTACTTTTCTCATGAAGAAAAAAAGGGAACTTAAAAAAAGGAACTTCTGGCTTGGTTCGGTTTATGCAGAATTGCTTGCTGACGTCCCAGAGTTCCCCATCGGACAGGAGGGGGTGTGGATGTGCGCACACAACCACACAGTTGAGAAAAAGCCCACCTTTAAAATAAAACCATCTACAAAGAAAGGGGAAAACAAACTGGGAAGGCAGAGTGCAGTGACTGGGGGCTTAGGTGCTTCCTAACCTGGACCAGTATCTTAACGTCTCTCTAAGCCTGTTTTCTCACCTGTAAAATGGTATTGAAAAAACCTACCTCCTCAGGTTGTTGTATTAAAAAAGGAGATGTGAGTAAAGCACTTGCAGACTGCCTGGTGCATTGTAAGTTCTAGAAATGTTAGCCTTGATGACGATGATGATCTACTGATACCTGCAAAAGTTGTCCTTTGCCGGTTCCCTCTGGAACAAGCTAGACTCCAAGTTCCCTGATCAGCGGTGCTCGCTTAGGCCTTTGTACCTTTGCTTCAGCTCCTCTCCGGGTTTGAAATGTACTCTCCTCTCCTCTTATCTCAGGACTCTGCTCAAAGGACACCTTCCCAGTGAGATCTTCTCAAACCAGCCCCGCAGAACTAATTCCTCATTCCATTAAGGAACCATAGCTCTAGCATAGCACTTTTCATGTCGTATAATAATGGCTTGTTTATATGTTGGTCTCTGGCGTTAGAATATTAACTTCTTGGCCGGCTGGCGTGGCTCAGCGGTTGAGCATCGACCTATGATCCTGGAGATCGAGGTTCAATTCCTGGTCAGGGCACATGCCCGGGTTGTGGGCTCGATCCCCAGTGGGGAGGGGTGCAGGAGGCAGCCGATCAATGACTCTCATCATTGATGTTTCTATCTCTCTCTTCCTCTCTCTGAAATCAATAAAGACATATTTAGAGGGGGGGGAAGAATATTAACGTCTTGAGTTGGAATTCGCAGCACCTTGGGACCCAAAACAGTCCCAGATCTGACCCAAAAGGAATGGCTGGTCCCTGAGGGCATCTGCATGGCTTCGCACCAAGTCCCACCCACCTAACCTCTCAGCCTGCAGACCTTTGCCCACACTTGTTTGAGAAGAATCACCACTCCGGGTGGATTCCAGGAATCTAACAGGGTAGGAAAAAATGATAACTGATTACTTGGAATTTTTGTCCGGAAGTCATGAAACACACAAATAATCCTGGTTCCTCTTCTGCTGAGCCCCGATTTCGAGCACCCATTGTGCGCGAGGGGTCAAATTCAAGGTACAGTCTGTGGTCTTAGAATGGGGCAAAGATATTGGGTCCTCACAGAAATAAAACCAATGACCTCAGTCTCATTAGCGCCTGTTACGTCCAGGGCCACAGCAGAGCGTCAGGGCTGCCAGAGGCAAGGTGGGGGATAGTCCAAGAGAGGTAACGTAAGAAATGACGCCTGGGCTCCAGTCAGATTCAAGTCACTTTAGGAACTCACCGCCCATTAGCCACGGAAACATGCAAGTCTGTAAATCCCTGGGCCTCGTTCCTTCACCTACACTCTGGGGATGAACCTAAATTAGAGGCTGGAGGCAGGTGGATTACACATGACAATGTAAAGTATTGTGGACCCCAAAAAAGGTTTCTATGGAAAGCAACCTGACAGAGTGATGTGATCGTGAATTCCTAATGGGCAGGTCCGGGTGGGTTGTCACACCCTAGGCCTAGAACTTCTTTAGTGAAAGGGTTAAGCCAGCCCTGCCCATTGTTCCTGTGCATCTAGGTTAACACACCTTTGAAATGTCAGAAGTAGCACCCCTCAAAGGGGATATTAATCCTCAAGAGAGCACATAATCTTGTTAGCTATCCTGTAATCCAAGCCCAGCCTTGCTTTCTCTCACCTCCATGGAATCTTTATGTCTCCTTAATTTCAAATGCGTAAGAGAAACTGCAAAACTGTTATTCCTGCCCTAGCCAGTTTGGTTCAGAGATTAGAGCGTCGGCCCACTCGATTCTGGCCAAGGGCCCATAACTCGGTTGCAGGCTCCGTCCCCAGCCCCGGTCGGGGTGCATGTGGGAGGCAACCAACCGATGTGTCTCTCTCACACCGATGTTTCTCTCTCTCCCTTCCACTCTCTCTGAAAAGCAATGGAAAAAATATCCTTGGGTGAGAATTTAAAAAGCCAAAAAAATTAAAAACCTGTTATTCCCCACAGCACTTGAGATCTTGCTCCCCTGGTATATGTCGTCAGTTTGACTGAAATAAACTCTTATCAAAATTCTTTACAGATATGGGTGTTTCTTGTGTGGATGGAATGCAGTACCCTGCATATAGTGATTCCTCAATAAAGATAGCAGAAGCCGCCCTGGCCAGTGTGGCTCAGTTGGTTGAGCACTGTCCCATGCACCTAAAGGTCACTGGTTCAATTCCTGGTCAGGGCACATGCCCAGGTTGCAGGCCCAGGTTGGGGTGTGCAGGAGGAAGCGGATCAATGATTGATGCTTCCCTCTCACATCGATGTTTCTCACTCTCCCTCTTCCTCTCTCTCTCTCAAATCAATAAAAACATATTTTTTAAAAGGTAGTGGGAAGCTACAGATGAATAAGTGAGACTAATAGTGGTCCCGTAAATGAGTAGAAATTAGGGAACGTGTGTCTGTGGGTTGGGAAGGGAAGGAGAAGGGGGGGGATGGCTGCTCTAAGGTGAACGTTGGCCTCCAAAGGCAAGGGGGGGGAGGGACTGAAATGAAGATGTGTGTATCCAGGGTGATGAAATCATCGATCCCAAAGTCCCAGAGTTATCTGTTCATCTAAGGGCCCCACCTTTGTAGCCTTGAACCTGCCTTGTCCAGGGCCCAGCTCCACTAGGACCCCCCCCAGGGAGCCGAGGAGAGTCACTCAACTTCAACCTTATAGTTTAAGATCTGGAGGGAAATCTTGGCTGTCATTAAATCCCACGGGGTCATTTATCAGTGATAAAACTGAGGCCCGGAGAAAACCTAGCTCAAGGTCATCATTCTAATGCTACCTCTGCCACCAATGTGCTGTGAGGTCTTGGGCAAGTCACTTCCCCTCCCTGAACCTGCAGTTTCCTATTCTGTAGAATGAGGGGCTTTCAGCATTTAGAGATCTAAGTTCCCTTCAACTCTGACCTCTGCCATATTAAAAATAATAGCTCCTTCTACCGCTCAAGTTTCGGCATTAGATTTCTCACTGCCCCCGCACTCATATCACACAGAAAAATCAAGGAAGAACATGTTTGGGTAACTTTTGAGCTCACTTAATTTTAACCCAGTGCGAGTCTTCAGCAGGACTGAGAACAAGCAGAGCGGGGTCAGGCAGAAAACTGCGGCAGGCGGCCCAGGCTGTGGCGCCTGCCCTGTGCCCAGCCACTGTGATCGCGTCACTGCAGGGCTCCTCGGAGCTGGCAGCGCTGCGGGGATGAGTCAGGCCAGCGATCGCACCTTACATGGCCATCCTGGGATTACGCAGGCTGCTGGAGGACTTGGAGCAAGTGCCCGTCACCTGCTGCCGCCACAAGTGTGCCTGGACTCCGGCAGCCTCCGTCTTGTGACTGAGGAATTTGTAAATGGAAGCTCTGAACTCACAAAGATGAAAATGTCTCCCTGATGTCACACAGTTGCTGCCAATTCATCAGCTCAAGCTAAAGGTCAGAGAGGGGGAAGCCACCGCCCCAGGGTCCTGCGCTGCCCCCTCGGCTGGGGCTTCCCTTCCAGCAGGCTTCGCGCCAGCCCGGGCCAGCGTGGAAGCCAAGCCAGGGCCGAGGGCGCTCCCAGGGCAGGCAGTCCCGGGACACAGGCAGTCCCCGCACCGCGGGCTGCTCTGCTCCCGCCGGCCCCTTAACCAGCTCAGCCTCCCGGGCCTCTCCCCAGGCCGCCTGGCTCCCCCGCACACAGCCAGGGCCTCCCTCGAAACCTGGACAGAACTGTCCCGAGGGGCCTTCCCTGGCATCACTTCAGGGATAAAACCAAATTGCACAGATTTCCTCTTGCTGTTTTAATTACTAAATGCAGTGGCCAAAGAGCAAAGCCTAGAGGTGCCACTGCCTGGAGTGACAGCCTGCTTTCCAGTGGGGGATACTGCAGCTATCTGGCCTCCCTGAGCCCGCTTCCTGGCCCTGAAGGGGAGGGCAGCGAGAACACTTACCCCGTAGTGTTTTCCTGAGGGGTCAATGGAAGCACTGAGAGCCCGACATGTCCCCGTGCTCAGTACATGTCAGCTTGCAACCAACACTCACAACTATAACTGGACAAGTTACTTAGCCCTCAAGTCTTAATTTCCTCATGCAATGGAGGTAGACACTTGTGCTTGACAGGGTCGCTGTGAGGATTCAGGAGAATGAATATAAATCAATTAACACAGCACCTAGCACTGGAAAAATAGATGCTGGCTCCGGGGACAATCACACTCCGGGCTCCATCAGTCAAACCGTGATCTGGAGGAAGGCTGATGCAGTCACCATAAAACACCTCCTCAAAGCCGGACAGACAACTCACAATCCAGACTTAAAGATGAGACATGTGGAAAACAGGTCTGTAGTCAACATGGACACAGAAAAAAACATTTTAAAAATTAGTTGCACTTTTTTTCCTCTTTGGGGGACCTTTTTCAATTCTGTCCTAAGTTTCCAGGGAAGAGAGATAACAGGCAGTTACCTGGGTAAGAGAGAAAGGATTAACTGTCATGACTGCAAGGAGACCGTAGATGGAAAATGAAGAGATGTCAAGGAGGGGGAGGAAGCTGAAATAACTGGGGAATGAGAGAGGAGGAGATGTCTCTAAACTTGGAAAGGCTCACAGACTAGTTCTCTACCTCAGATGTAAACAACAGACTTGAGCCCGGCTGGTGTGGCTCAGCGGTTGAGCATCGACCTAGGATCCAGGAGATCGCAGTTCAACTCCCGGTCAAGGCACATGCCCAGGTTGCAGGCTCAATCTCCAATGGGGGTGTCCAATGATGACACTCTCATCATTGATGTTTCTATCTCTCTCTTTCCCTCTCCCTTCCTCTCTCTGAAATCAATAAAGATATATTTTTAAAAAAGAACAAACCTGAGCTCGGCCGGTGTGGCTCAGTGGTTGAGCATTGACCTATAAACCAGGAGGTCACAGTTCGATTCCCAGTCAGGGCACATGCCCAGGTTTCAGGCTCAATCCCCAATGGGGGGTGTGCAGGAAGCAGCCAATCAATGGCTCTCTCATCACTTATGTTTCTATCTCCCTCTCCCTTCCTCTCTCTGAAATCAATAAAGACATAATTAAAAAAAAAAAAAGAACAGACCTGGAAAGACAATGGTCAGAGTGGTTCCAGTGCCTGCCCTACGCTGCCTGTNTCCCTTCCTCTCTCTGAAATCAATAAAGACATAATTAAAAAAAAAAAAAAGAACAGACCTGGAAAGACAATGGTCAGAGCGGTTCCAGTGCCTGCCCTACGCTGCCTGTGGGCCTCCCTCTTGGGCACCCCCAGCGCCACCCAAACACGCATCCTGCAGTCAGTGACTGAATGCCACCCGTCACACCCCTGCCTGCCTTCTGCACGGGGAAGTTCTACATGAAGCTCAGATGCGGGCAAAGGTGAGGCTTTTCTTGTGGGCTCCTCTCATTCCCTCTCACCCAAACAGGTGAGCCCTGGTAGGAAACAGCTCATTCCCTGGCTCAACCCCTCCTCAGCCTTTCCTCCCAAGTCTTCCCTCTTTCCCTGAAGACAAAGGTGTACGAGGATCCCGGTTTTACCCTTCCGGAGGGCGTTAATATTTTAATGACAAGCTCTAGAGAGTCCACATAAACATGCCCCATTCTGTAAACACTTCTTGAGCCTTACCTACTTGCAGGCACTACGCTAGGCCCTCCTGCTTTCTCCTGGGAGCTGAGGCATCAGCTTCCCAGGTGCTTCAGATGTGGATCCTGGAGAATCCCAGGGCCTGACTCTCCACACGCTCCTGCCCTCAAATCAGGCAACACCCAAGTGTGGGGAGATTTTTCTGTCTCCCATGCATGCATCTCCCCTTCTGTTTCCACTGGCACCTCACCTCTGCCCTTGCTTGTCACTTGTACCTTATTTCCCAAAGACCTTGCCTCTAACCCATCCTGCACAACCGTCTCATCTTCTTAAAGGCCCCCTCATCACATTAATCCCCCCCGAACTGCAAACCCTTCAGTGGTTCCCCACCCCAATATTTCATCAGAGGTCTTATCCATAACCCTGCCTTTACTCTCAGAATGGGATATATTCATAGAGCCTGCTTTACCCATGAAAGGAGTTTCAAGGGAAGGAGGGGGCCCAGGGAACCCATCTGACCAGAGGGCTGTGTGCACAGGACGCCCTGTTGCAACGTGGCTGGGGCCAAAATCTGAATCGTAGTCAATGAGGGCAGCCAAATTCCTATCTGGGAAATCAGGGCAGTCTGCAGGGTGAGGCCAAGCTGTAAACAGAGTAATGAGGTCAGAAGCTGGTGGGGACCAGAATCATGTCTAGATGCAGTTCAAGAAAACGGAAATGGTACAGGACTGAGGTTGTGAATTGAATTACAAGAAGGTATTGGAGACCTGCTGTGCGGCTCTACATGGGATGGGGGTGGAAGGCGCAGCTGTGAAAGCTTCCTTTCTTCTGGCTTCGCTCTGGTTTTCCACGTCTGTGACTGTTGTCTTCCCTTCTGCCCACGGTGTCACAGCCTCCGCATGGCCCCAGTGCCACTGAGTGACTGGTCGGAGGGCGCAAGGTGGTGGATGTGGGAACCTCCCACCAATCGAGGACGTGCGAGGGAGGCGAGATGGAGTGATGTTCATAAACCCAAATGAGTTCACAGCCCCATGTCTCAGATTCCTCACCTGCAAAGTGAGGATAACAGCCACACTATTTCATAAGAGCGTTATAGAGTAACACTACTATGAGGATTCGCCAAGAAAATATTTGTAAAATGCTTGGCACATAGTAAATGCTGCCTAAGTGTTAGTCAAATAAAAATAAGGTGCCCAGCTGGTAAATAGGGCTAGTGCTCAAAGTCAGTTCTAATTTTAACATTCGAGGCCTCAGGTCCTCCACCACTGAGGTCATCAGCAGGCTACGGTGGACTAAGCTAACTACAGGACTTTCAAAAACTAATTTTCATTTCAACTAAGAATAGAAAAACATGCTGCTAGCTTATTTTACTTGGGAACACAGGAAATATCATTCGAGTTCCTACACTTACCGGCTCTTAGGAAACTACAGAGACAGCCAGAAGCACCAGTTCAAATAACAGCACCTCTCCCAAATTTATGAGATTTTGCTAAAAAAACCCCCTCACATTTAGAAAATGACTGGGGGTGAATTAGGGAAGTTCAGTTGAGCCTGGCAAGGTTCAAGGCTACAGCTTTCCTTGGAAAGGTAGCTGAGAGCAAATAATTCAAAGAGGAGGAAATATTACAGTATTATTATTATTACTATTATTTTTTGCAAACTGCCAGGGGGAGGGTATTTGGAAAGGAGAGAACTGAGAGGGAGAACATGAGTATAAGGTTTGTAAAATGATTTTTAAAAAATAGGCACGGTGTACTTTACCTCAGTAGCAACCCAAAGATGATAATGCAGGTCTGTTTGCTCCAGCGACCTACAAACCAGAAATCTTGACGAACTGAACCTCTCACCAGACTACAATTGGGCGCTAATAGGTATTTGGAAACGGTGACCCCAGCGGACTGCAAAATCCTAAACAGCTTTTTGAAACAGGAGAAAAAGATTAAATGAAGCGTGGCGCGGTTTGGAGCGAGCCTATTTTATTGTATTCTAATTTTTCGAAAACAAGAAATAGTTCTGCCATCCGTAGTATGGGGAGATTTACATGCCATGCATGAACTTTCTACCCATCACAATGTGAGAACAAGGCGTTGCCTGATGGCTGGCATCAGAGTGTAGTAAGGGCTCCTCTTCTCTGAACGTGCTTTCCCAGGCCCTCTCCGGCAGGCCCAGCTCTGCGAGAGAAGGGTTTTGCTTATGGTCTGGCGTTTACCCGAAAATGTTTTATTCTTCTCTAAAAAAAAAAAAGGGTGTCGCTGGCCTAGGAACAAGGTACCCCCTCCTCGCCCGAGTGGTGGAGGTTCAGAGGTGCTGCTCTGTTTCTCTGATCAGACCCTCGCCTGGTAGAGCTTTTAGCACAGGCATCTCTCGGGAGGAGGGGTCCCGGGCGAGCGGGGCCCGGACAAGGCGCAGCGCGGAGCACGTGCCCC